AGTAAATACTTTATAAAGTTCTGACAAATTATTATCTTCATTTTACATGATAGTTCCATTCCTGAAAAACTCGTAAATCTATATAAAACATTTTGTGTTTGTTTTTAAATAGGAAGTTCACATTTTTCTGAAGAGATTTTTACCAGTGTGAGTATCAGGCAGGGTATTTGAAAGTTATCTGGTTCACAAGACATTTCTTTGTTGGCAGGACTCTACAGTTGATTGAAGAATATCTGATAATCTCTGCCCTAGCCATCCACTCATCTCATAAATACCACTAGACACCACCCTCCCAAATCATTGTTTGATCCTTCCCTTAGGCTCTTTCCCCAAAAGGAGTTCTGACTTTAAGGCAAGTAATCTCTTAGCTGTAGTAGAGAAATTATATATAGATCTCTATGTACTATATAGTGAGAATAGGGAAACACAATTAAGCAACCAATCAGAAAACTGGTGAGTAAAAAAGCCTCTAGAGCAAAGTATATGGTCATTCAGAAACATTATTTCAGTGACAGTATTATTTTGGTTGATTTTTCTAAACATAAATGCTTGGTATTACATTGTACCTATCTGGTAACAAGAATAGCATTTACTTTCATTTCTGTATAAGAACAAGAGTGTTAAGGATTTTGGGAAACATTAAAAATGTTTATAATTGTGGTGAGATGAAAGGATGTCTAGACTGTGGAAAGTCCCAAGCCACCTTTGCATTAAGGCAAAGTTCTTGGAAGCCCAGACTGCTCTGATAGATGGCAAAAACTACCTTAAATCCTAAAATGAAAATTATGTAACATGACATAAAAGGCTAAAATTAAATTATTGTGTTTACATCATGGGCATTTTAAGTTATTCCCTCTCACCTTGCTTTGGTCTGCTAACAGTGTAAAATTATCTTGCCCTTATAATACCTTCATGTAAGTATATTTTATTTAAAGTTTATGTCCAGAAAACAATAGTTCACAATTAAGTTTGTAGATTTCATAAAATACATTAAATCATTCTTCCCCAGAAACGTATTTTTCCTAGGCCATTTTTCATGTGCTTGTGTACATTGGAACATGTAGCCAACAAAACTCACTTTTTGTTATATAAAACGTATGACCTAAATAAACCTCTCTTCATTTATTTTAATAACAGTGCTATTGCAGTTTTGACTCTGAAGCTTCTTTTTCCTGTTGTTTTTGCATTTTTTCACTTGTTTTGTAGCTTTTCTGTTATGCAGGAAATAGATTACATATAAGAATGATTAAATGCACAAATTTACTTTCATCACCATGAACTCTAAAGATAATGTTTTCTTAGTTATGTTAAAGAAGTGTAACACTACAGGACTATGATTTTAGTTTCTTCTTAGCTGTTATTTATAATGCTTGTTGTTTTCATTAAATCTTTGGGATTTTAAGAATAGTACAGAAGCTGGTATATTTAGTATGAAAATATAAAATGTTATGATTCATTTCCAAATACGGCTTTTTGCCAAAGACCAGCTTCTAAAAATTAGAAAGCTTTTTTCTAATTTGGTTTCCCTAGGCTTCATCAGTTTGCTGCTACAAAAGGAGTGTCTTTCAAATCAGTCCCATGTGTTGTCAGTTCTTCCCCTAAATGCCACCATGAGATTTTTTTCCACCTTAAATACTCGTCCACTTTTTTTTTAATACCAGTGGTTTTTACATGTGTTAACAAATTCAGATGGAAGAAAGAAAGGTTTTTAATTTCTTAACTTTTTTAGGGTATGAGAGTTTTTATTTTCAAATAGTTTTAAGTTTGTGTGCTTCCAAAACCCTATATAGTTGACCCTTGAAAAACACAGGTTTGAACTGTGAAGGTCCCTGTATATTTGAAATTTTTTCGGTGGTAAATACTGCAGTACTGCATGATTGTTAGTTGACTGAATCGAAGGATGCAGCAACCAGCCCTAAAATTATACTTGGGTTTTCGACTGTGTGGAGGGTGGGCTCCCCTAACCCCCAAGTTGCTCACGGGTCAGCTGTACTGTACTTATTATTAGCAGGGATTAAAATAAAATCAGGGTGGCTAAAATGGCTTTAATCTGTCTCAGTTCCTTTGCCCAGGACAATATGAAATCAGAGAAGAAAGGAGCAGGCAAGCCATCAAGGAGTTCAGAGTGTGAATGGGTAGTCTAGGATGACAACAGAAAGTGTAATACATGCCACAGGTTTCTGAACCCTGGCATGTAGCCCTGGCTAAGTGATTAGGAAGTTCAGATTTGACAGTGCCATAGAATTGCTGAGAATGCTTGCTAGAAATCGTGTGAAACTAGTTGAACTTCACACTGATGGTGTAGTTGTAAAATTAATTTTGATAACAGATCTTGTTTTGATTCCTGTTAAAGAAAGTAGAGGTGCTGTTGAAACAGATTCTCTGTCATTTTTAAAATATGGAATATTGAGATAGGAAGCTGATTATAAAAGTGAGACTTGAAATAAGGGGTTTTAACTTTCTTTACATCATGAAAATCTGATGAAAGCTATGCTACTGTCATTAGGAAAATGCAAGTATATCCAAATTTGCATACAATTTCAGATATTCACAGTCCTGAAGTCCTGCTCTAAGTCACTTCTTTTCATTTTTTGGACAGTTTTATTTTTATTTAATTCGGGGCTTGAATTGTTGCACAGAAGATAATGAATTGAAGTTTTAGGTTTAATTTCCATAAGGGACACTTAGCTGTACTTATACTACAGTCACAAATAGAAAATTTAACCATTTTCTGTGTGAAAAAAAGTGACACACAGCCGTATGTATATGCATGCCATTGATTATGATTAGTTAAGATCATTTGAATTAACCACTGGAAAAACAACTCAAAATGCTTAAACTGGATGTTGTAACATCTTTGGGAATAAGGAAAAATGGACTGTCATTATTCTTTCAGAATTATCATATTTTAAGTCATGATTTCTTGGAATATGGTGATACTGAATTTAAAATTCAGTTTAATTTAAAACTGATTTCATTTTTTGGAACATTTCAAAATATCTCCTTGAAATAATTGTAGAAATCTCAGGAGTCCCAAAACTTTAGTATGTGATAGCTGATTCATGCAGTAGAGATGAATGGAGAATGATGAGCATTTGCTTCCTGGAAAGTACATGCATTTCTGTGTAGCATATTCTAGTCATAAATGAGAGGATATAGTATATATGTATCATAATATATTTGGGGGAGGGTCTTTGTATCACTGATTCTCAGTCTCAGTTGTCTTGATGTCTTAAAGATTTATGTATTCTTTCAAACTCAAATTTACTTTCTTTTTTCTTTAATTTATCCCAGAAGTTTACAGGTATCGGTACAACTTAGTGTTATGTTAAGATGGTTTCAAAGTGAATGCAGAATAAATATGTTCCATGCAGTCTACTGCTTCAGTTACCTTCATGTCCCTCTCAGTTTTATGAACTCTACAGGCAAACTTCCTGCAGATCCTCTTTGAGAAATATAGCCATAGACTACAGTAGCATTCAAACTCTTTGTTTGTACATTTATTTATTTATTGAGTTGGAGCGTGTTATGTTTTACTTTCGTATATAACAAATCACATAATCCTTCATGGCTTCCTGTAGTACTTAAACCCAATAAATATTTATTGAATGAATAAATGGAATATATCTTTAAAATGATTATGATATTCCAGATAGAGCAATGAGTTCCAGCTCTGATTTTGAAACCTGCTCTTTTCCCCCCATGAGTTGTTACAGGGCACAATTGTGAAATGTTAAAAAGAAAATTTATGAGGAAGATAAGCATGCATGACACATTTAATCCTTGAAGAAACTAATTTTGAAATTAGACATATCATGGCACATTCTTATCCATAAAATGTGACCATCACTGTAAGTAGCATAAACAAATAAAATAAAACTTCATTTTTTTAATGGAGTATACAAATTCATTTAATTTGCACACCCCTATACCAGCTGTTTCTAAGATCACAAAATAAATTTTTTAAAATCACAAATAAAAGCAGTTGAAAACCATGCATAGCATTGCTAATATCCTGATGTGCTAAATAAAATAACCCTCTAGGTAATATGGAAATTTCCACTATCTGTTTATGTCTGTGCTTGATAGAAATTTTACAGGGATGCTAAGCATTGGAAGGGCAGCTGCAGTACTTTCTTAGTAGATTGCTAACTTAGAGTCCTTAATATATAAAAATGGATCACTGTAGTTTATGAATACCAAGTTTAATCAATCTCTTAATAACTTAGTAGTGCTAGTAGATAGCCCTTGACCACCATGAAAAACATAAAAATCTAAGAAAATTTGATTCATTGTCTGTTAGAAGAAGTCTTGCATTTGGTGATTGCTTTCAGCCTGTCAGGGGATCCCCAGGATCTACCAAAGAAGTCTAGAAGTTTCACTTGCCACCCTGGAAAAGAGTACAATACTGTAGGAATAAATTATCAGTATTCTTGTCACCAGGGAAAATTTTCCACTAGAGATCATTACTAAACATACCTTAATAAATGGTCTTCTAAATTTGAGGCTAGAATTATTACATATGTCCATATTTTAGGAAGTTGATTGATAATGTAACCAGCACAGAGAAGTGCTTGTGTGGAATGAATCTGGGTTATCCAATGCATTGTTAAGTCCTTCGGGAACAAAGCTCTTTGAAACCGAGTTGATTTGGATGTAAAAGAAATGAAGTGTAAACCTTTCATCTAATGTGGTAGGTCCTGACAAGGCCTTTGCTACACAGGACTTCCACATCACTGAATAGGAATCTATCCTAAGAAAAAAAACAAAGAACCCCAGGAATGAAAGGGAAGGAAAGAAGCCTTGTCTTCAAATGCTTCTGTAGGTCTTCTATATGATTATTCTTTTCTTGTGAAAATATTCTGACAGAATATGGACTGTTTTTCATTACCAGAGGTCAGTAATGGTACATATAATACGATCAATTAAATAGAACTATTAGTAAAGAAATCATAGCAACTAACCTTGTTGACTGTTATTTTTCTTTTGCTTGACCTTAGGGTTTTGACCCACCTCATCAGAGTGACACAAGAACTATTTATATAGCCAATAGGTTTCCTCAAAATGGCCTTTACACACCTCAGAAATTTATAGATAACCGGATCATTTCATCTAAGGTAAGAATTAACACTTTCATAATTAAAACTGTGGTTGCGTACTGTTTTGTTTCAAAAAAAAAAGTGATTTGTTTATGTATTCTAGTATACATTTAGATCCTTTAAAACTCCAGGAAATGGTGATTGGTAGATTTATCTTAACCAAAATTATGAACTGTAAACTAAAAGGAGTTGCTAGTTGCTAATATCAGGTAGCCAACATGCCAAAAATTATCCTTAGTTGCAATTAAACCGAGGAACTAATATTTATATCATGTGCTAGGCACTGTATTTGGTACTTTCCATATTATTTAACCCTTACAACAACTTTAAGATAGCTTTCACAAAATTGTTGTTATACTCATTTTATATCCGTTTCTTCAGTTAAAGTGCTGGAAAATAATTTACCCTAGGGATGAGATAAGAATTTAAACTCAATTCTGTGTGACTTTAAAACCTGACTTCCTCCAATTTTATGACTCTGTGTAAACATTTTGTAGTACAAAAGTACTGCTTCACTCTTATATATTCTTCCTTGTTTCATTTTTTTTTCCCATGACATTTTTAAGGTGTTTAAAGTTTAACTTGAAACTGAATATTATAGCGTAATGCTATCTTATAGACTCTTCCCTCATGATTGAAATGTTATCCATGCTATTATCCATGCTAATATGATAGCCATTTGCCACATGGGGCTATTTGTCTTGAAATGTGGTAATGTAATTGAGGAACTTAATTTTTAATTTAATTTTAATATACGTAAAATTAAGTGTTAATAGCTACATGCAACTAGTGGCTACTGTATTGGAAAGGTCAATTATAGAGAATGTGAGTCAGAGACTGAGGGTCAGGTTCTCCTTTGAGCATACCTGTTGCATAATAGACCATCTTAAGAAGCATCTTTGTCTTGCTCTTTCCCTCCCTTCCAGGGCAACTAAAATTTTCTGTCTAATCCTGATCTCATTTTTCTGAAAGATATTGTCTTAGGCCAGTGATTCCTTTGTCCTGTTCCTTTTTTACAACCTTCACATTATTTATTTTTGCAACACACCTATTAGTGACATCTCATTTTAGACAATGGTTCTCAAGTAGAAGGCAGGAAGGGGAAATACCAAAATCTAGGATAATAGAGAGTTCTAGATTGATAACACAGTTCTTAGTAAATGATGCAAGAAATGTCCATGAGAATTTTTAAGTTTTTTCTTTTAAACATTGGGTATATGTATATACAATAAAATTCACTAGTTTTAAGTATATAATTTGATAAGTTTTCGCAAATGTATAACATCATGTAACCACTACCACAATCAAGATATTGAATATATTTGTCACTCCAGAAAGCTAGCAGCTAGTCCCCCTCTTCCTCACCTCTAGCACTAGCAACTGCTCTGCTTCCTGTAACTATAGTTTTGTCTTTTCTGGAATTTCATATAAATACAGTCACATAGTGTGAGTCTTCTGTGTCTGGCTTCTCCTAATGCCATAGTCTTGAGATTCATCTTTGTTGTTGGAAATATCAGTATCAGAAGTTCATTTCCTTTTTAGTGCATCATTTAGCTGTCAGACTAGGTTTTGATAGTTTATGTTCTGATTTTGGATCATTTTCCTTTTATGATTTTGCTATCAGTATTTTCCCCTTAAATTCCCAGCTGCTTTTCCAGCCCTGAACTCTAAATCTCTGTCGTATTTTGCTAATTAGGGGGTAGTTTTTCCCCAGTGTTCAGCTGCCGGAACTGTGAGAGTTGGATAGTGTCTCCAGGCTAAGAGGTCAGAGCTCACTATTATACACCTTCCATTTGTAATTTTTTTGAAATTAAACTCTCTTCCAGTTTCTGTCTGTATTTTGGATACTTCTGGGATTTTAAATAGTTTGTTTTAATCTAGTTTTCATAATTCTTACCTGCTGGGAGTTCAGTCTGCCAGTACTGGAAGCTGAGTATCGTGGGAAACTTTTAGGATTAAATATCTTTGTATGACTGTTTTCAAATACATCAGTATTAAGTTGAATGTTTTTGACTACAGCTTCAAAAATGTAGATATTTAAATAAACATGTGGAGACTCTCATTGCGTATTACTTCCGTATTATTCCACTACTGCTTTTTTAAACTCCTTTCAAACCAGATTACCTGCTATTCTGTAAACTCACGTTGAACTTCTGTACTACTATGCCTTTGCTATGATTTTGTATTGATAACTGCAGTTTTTTAAATAGAGATTGTATCTTTTTGCAGAGAGTATAGATTTCATGATTTTGCCCACAATTTCAAGAATGTAGTTATTTATATAGACAGCGTCTGTTTTATTTATATGGACAGTGTCTGTTTTTTTCCTGACCATAAATGAGGTGGCTTCTAATTATAATAATAATTATTATTATGGTTATTCCCTTTTTATTAACTTTCTTCTCCCCTATTATTTCTATAAAACTCCTTTCAGACTGCGTTATCTTGTATCCCACAAAGTCATGATGAACTTTACTCCTCACTGCCTTTATTCTTCCTGTCCTTCTTCCTGAAATGTTCTCCCACTGTTTACCCCCTATTTTCAGCCTATTGAATGTTCCTCTCTTAAAGCCCATGTCAAATGTGACCTCTTCTGTTAAATCTTTCTCATTGACTGCTTTCTCTTCGCATTCTTTGTATGTTTCTTCATTTACTTTATCCTTGAATATAGCTATTGATATATTCTTTATTTTCTTTATTTAAATTAAACCTATCTTTATTCCTCTTTACCTATCTCTACATTCCTCTTGTAGTGCAAGAGATTATCTTGCACATTGTAGATGCATGATATCTTTGTTTAATTTAATTTACTATGGTAATTTCCTTACCTTAAATTGTGAAAGATTTAATTTTATAACCTATTTTAGTTTTCTTACTAAAATGTCAGACCTTAGGAGGAAAAAGATGATATACTATACAGAAGGTAAACTTTGAATTCATTTTTCTTGGCCATTGTTACATAATTAAAAGCATTTTAAAACAATCATTTACTATTTTTCTTAGAAGCATTTTCATGTGTCTTAATATTTACTTGAATGCCACCTCTCTGGCAGGATAAGCACAGAATTTGGACTCATTCAATCTGTTAATTTGTTTATATTTCAGAAAACCTGAAAACAACAGTTCGTAACATTTGTAAACTAACTTTCATGAGAAATTTTTATGTACCATCTGAGTTTTTCCATTGTATTATTGAGCTAGCCAAAGAAATCCTGAAACCAGTTGCCATTTTGTCAGTTTATACAGTTGCTCTTTTCAAGATTCTGGAAGACAAAATATATTGTCACTATTATAATTTAAATAGATTGATGTAAACATAGAACATAGCCAACTTAATTCTTATGAAGTTTTACCCATTTGATCTGGTGACTGAGGAAGTTGCATGGAAATACTATGACCTCTGTAGGGACAACTGTCTTTTTACTGTAGTTAAGATCAGCTAGTAATGATTTGACCCAGAATTAATATCTAATACACGCATATTGAGCAGTGACTTGTTTTGGTTCTAAGAAGTATCTACTTCTCTTCTCTATAGAGCCCTGAACATAGTTCCCAACCCCAGATTCTGGAGCACTGGTGCTGTGACCACCACAGGGAGTTATGTTTCAGGAGTGCCAGGTTAGAACTGAAAATGTCGTTTCACCTAAGAAAGGCAGGATCTTAGATTCTGTACTACTCTTTTTATACACTTAGGACAGATAGGCTTTTGTGGGCTCTTCTGGGAACTTAACCCTATTTATAAAATTATTCATATGGGAAAGGATGTTTCATGTATCAAATAACTAATTAAGAAACAAATTTCTGACATAAAATTAGAACCATCTTATGTTGCACCAGGTAGAATTAAGTAAACTATCTCTTTAAAAATCTTGAATTGGTCAATAACCATTAAGGCTGCATTCATTGCCTGACATGAGAAGAGTTATCTGAAAATAAAATTTATTTCCAACCGTATTTATTAATTTATCTATCTATCCTGCTACAGTTTTGATTCCTGTGTGCCAAGTACTAGTGTAAGTACTAGAGGTAGAGCAGCAAATAAAGCAATGTCCCTAGCCTCAGGGATCTTACTTTACCCCATTTACATTCTCCCAGTAGAATGTAACAGTGCTATAAAGTTTCCCTGTTTCATAAAGTTGTGTTGTGAGTAGTGAAAGGCACAAGTAAAATTTGTACTGAATTACCTTGCCCACATAATATAGCATTACAGGCTTATAAACTGATTAATAATATAACAAACATGTGTATAGCAATTAGCATAAGCCAGATTCTGCCCCAAGTTCTTCATAAGTATATTAGCATATTTAATAATCCTATACAGTGTAATTATTATTGTCTTCATTTTGTAGAGGCACAGAGTGGGGTACAGAAAGATTAGGTCCAAGGACATTCAGTGACCTTGGATTAAGGATTTAGAGCAAAGCTGTTTAACCCCTTACCATCTTTGTTTGTGAGCATGATATTCTAATGTCTTACTTTGAAAATTGACATTGTGACAGATTTTTGTGTCCTTTATGAGATTTTCTTGGTGGTTATACCAGTGATAACTTATCTAAAGGTTTTTTAATGAATGAAAGATTCTTTAAATTCTGTAGTGCTTTATAATTTTCAAAAGTTTCACACAGATGATTTCATATAATCCCATAATAACTCCTTTTTTAGTTGATTTATACTGTTTCAGGTGTACAGCAAAGTGAGTCAGTTATATACTAAACATATATGTGTGTGTGTGTATATTCTTTCTCAATCTCTTTTCCGTTATAGTTGATTTTTTATGTTGATTTATAGTTGATTTACAGTGTTTCAGGTGTATAGCAAAGTGAGTCAATTATATACACACATATATATGTGTTTTTTTTCAGACTCTTTTCCATTATAGGTTATGACAAGATATTGAATATAGTTCTTGTGCTATACAGTAGGTCCTTGTTTAATAACCCTTTATTTCCCTCCTACTCTTATGTTTCCCTGCCCTCCTTCCCTCTCCTCACTGGTAACCACTAGTTTGTTCTCTATATCAGTGAGTCTGCTTCTTTTTGTTAAATTCACTAGTTGTATTTTTTTAGATCCCACAGTGATATCATATATTGTTTGTCTTTCTCTCTCTTGACTTATTTCACTTAGCATAATGCCCTCCAAGTCCATCCATGTTGCTGCAAATGGCAAAATTTCATTATTTTTATGGCTGAGTAATACTCCATTGTGTGTGTGTGTGTGTTTGTGTATTTATCTCACATCTTTTTATCCAGTCATCTGTTGATGGACACTTAGGTTGTTTTCCTATACCTTGGCAAAATGTATCTTTTCAAATTAGTGGGGGGTTTTGTTTTTGTTACTGTTTTGTATATATATCCAGGAGTCAAATTGCTGGGTCATAGGGTAGCTTTATTTTTAGCTTTTTTGAGAAACTTCTGTATTGTTTTCCACAGTGGCTGCACGAATTTACATTCCACCAGCAGTATGGGAGGATTCCCTTTTCTCCACATCCTCACCAACATTTGTTATTTGTGTTCTTTTTGGTGATAGCCAGGTATGAGATCAGGGTGATGCTGCCCTCATAGAAGTAGTTCTCAAGTTCCTTACACTCCAGTTTTTTGGAAGTTTTAGAAGGATAGGTATTAACTCTTCACTCAGTGTTTGGTAGAATTCACCTGTGAAGCTATCTGGTCCTTGGACTTTCGTTTTGGGGGAGTTTTTAAATTACTGATTTAATTTCATTAGTGATAATTGTTATGTTCATATTTTCTATTTTTTCCTGGTTCAGTCTTGGGAGATTGTACCTTTCTAAAAATTTGTCCATTTCTTTTAGGTTGTCCATTTTATTGGCATGTAGTTGTTCGTAGTTTTCTCTTAATGATCCTTTGTATTTCTGTAGTGTCAGTTGTAACTTCTTTTTCAATTTTGATTTTATTGATATAGGCCTTTTTTTCTTGAAGGTTTGGCTAAAAGTTTATCAACTTTGTCTGTCTTTTCAAAGAACCAGCTTTTAGTTTCATTGATCTTTTCTATTGTTTATTTAGTCTCTACTTCATTTATTTTTGCTCTGGTATTTATGATTTCTTTCCTTATACCAGGGGTTTTGTGTGTTCTTTCTCTAGTTCCTTTAGGTGTAAGATTAGGTTGTTTCAAGATTTTTCTGAAATAAATCCAATTTGAAGAAAATGGCAATACGAACATACATATTGATAATTACTTTAAATGTAAATGGACTACATGCCCCAACTAAAAGACATGGAGTGGCTGAATGGATACATAAACAAGGCCTATATATAGGCTGCCTACAAGAGACTCACTTCAGATCTAGAGACACAGACTTAAAGTGAGGGGATGGGAAAAGGTATGCCATGCAGTGGAAATCAGAAGAAAGCCAGAGTAGCAGTACTTGTATCAGACAAAATATACTTTTAAATAAAGACTGTTACGAAAGACAAAGAAGCATACTATATGATGATTAAGGGGTCAATCCAAGAAGATGTAACAATTATAAATATATATTATGCACCCAACATAGGAGCACCTAAATATATAAGGCAAATATTAATGGACATACAGAGAGAAATCAGCAGTAACACAACAGTAGTAGGGACTTTAATACCTGACTTACATCAATGAACAGATCATCCAGACAGAAAATCAATAAGGAAACACTGGCCTTAAATGACACATTAGACCTGATGGACTTAATTCGTGAGTATAGATCATTTCATCCAAAAGCAGCAGAATACACGTTCTTTTCAAGTGCACATGGAACATTCTCCAGGATAGAACAAATGCTAGGCCACAAAACAAGCCTCAGGAAATTTAAGAAAATTGAAGTCATATCAGGCATCTTTTCTGACCACAACTCAATGAGACTGGAAAGCAACTACAAGAAAAAAACAACATGAAACACAAATACATGGGGGCTAAACAACATGCTACTAAGCAACCAGTGAATCATGTAGAAATCAAAGAGGAATTCAAAAAAATACCTAGAAACAAATGAAAATGAAGATCCAAAACCTATGGAATACAACAAAAACAGTTCTAAGAGGGAAATTTATAGTGATACAAGCTTACCTCAGGAAACAAAAATCTCCAACTATTTAAAGTATTTTTAAATCTTTTTTCACATTTTAGGTTATTTTTCTGCAGCCTATGCTTAATGAGAAATAATTGAATAATTATACCATTTCCTCTGTTTCTGACACTGAGCTAAATAAAACATGAAATGAATTGAATTGAATCTAGTGTTAGCATTTCTATCAGCTCTTATTCATCTTTAACATTAGATTTAGTTTTGTGTAAACAAAATCCAAAATAAATTATTAAAATATTATTTTAGATCTGCCATTTCCAACTTACAAAAAATTAAGGACTTAATAGCAAAATTAATAGATTCTGGTTTATCTCATTTTTTAAAATTATACTAAAATTGCCAATAAATAGTAAAAGAAAGATAAAAAGTTGAATAAAAGTCCTGAAACTCTAAAAACCAGATAGTTTTATAGCATCAAGAGTTACATGAATTTAGCTAAGGGCTTAGTTAATCTGATATTACTTTTTTTATTACATGTATGTAGTATATATTATTTTGAAATATTAATTCATTCATCTCTCCCCTCTCCTTTTTTTTTTTTTTTTTTAGTATACTGTGTGGAATTTTGTTCCAAAAAATTTATTTGAACAATTCAGAAGAGTGGCAAACTTTTATTTTCTTATTATATTTTTGGTTCAGGTAAGCTTTATCGCTTCATAAATTTTTAAGTTTATAGATATGATTTCTAAGAATATATCTTCAGAGAAAGGTTGCATTGTGTTTTAAATCATTTGACTTTAGGGCCTTTTTTTTTTTTCTGCAGCGCTTCCTCATTGTATTCAGTGAGTACAATGATTTAAACCACATGTAGATGTCTAAAAAATAGCCTATGAATTTTAAGATTAATTGTATTTCGTTTTATCACTGATGTGCTGTGGTGCTGACAATTATAATCAAACCCAAGAAAATAACATCATTCTTTTAGATGCTCTGCCTCAGAAAATAAACATTTGTCTTCTAACATACAGCACTTGTTTTTGGCCTCATCTTTGTACAAAGTAAATTTTTCTTTAGCTTTTCTTTTTTTAATTTAAATTTTACTTTTATTTAAACAATTTTTTAATTATAATTTTTAAGAATCACTATGTAGATTTTTATCCACGAAGTTATTTTCTTAACTTAAATCTGTATTTATATAAGCTGTTTGACAGTCTCTTAATTTTCACATTGTACTTTTTTTTTCTAATATCAAGATATCAAGAGAACAGCTTACAAAACTTGAGTATAAAGTTCAAGATTCAAAATTAGTAATTGTCATTTTCTTTTGAAGAGGTTATTCTTTTCTGATCATGTTCTTTTCTGATCATTCTTTCTGATCATATTCTTTTCTGATCAGCAGTCTCTTTCAATGTGGCATTGAATTTTTTTTTGTATAAACTTTGAACCATTCTCTCTGTAGAACCTGGGCTTTCAAAAGGAAAAAAAAACTTGTCAAGTAATCACTTTAAAACTTCAGGAAATTTTTTTGTATTGCTTTCTTTCATGAACAGAAAAAGAACTTCTGTTTTTTTTTTTTTTAATCAACATCAGCTTGGGTTTGGTCAGAAAAATAAGAAATTTATACTAACCACATTGATATAATGCATGAATTTGTGAAATTACTAGCCAGGATCAGGAATTCACCTTGTCTGTGGAATAGAACAAATTTAATTAGCCTATCCAGAGTAGAGGAACATTAATAAATCATTAGACCCACATCCCAAGTAACCAAACATAATTACTGCAAGTATTTTCTTTACTTCTCCAGCAATTTATTGAAATCTAAATCTAATCTAAATCAGTTGTATGATTTAGATTGTATTTATAGCATCATTTTACAAGCTGTAGCCCTCTGGGTCTGCTAGTTGTAATAAAGTCACTTGTAGAGAAAACCCTTTCTCTAGTCCCATTTCTTGTTCTCTCCCTAAGTGGTGAGTTTATTCTGGATCCCAGGGTAAAAACTGACTTTTCAGCATTTCTCAGGATGGGCAAAGAATGTTAAATGAGATTTTGAGCAACTGTAGCTCTACTTCAAGGCAAATATTGAGGAAGATCTTAAGTACTGTGTGTGCTAAGAAAGCTGAGTGACTGAGTCCATCCTACCAGTATTTGTGGGGTTGCAATAGATTTAGATATTTTACTAACCCCATATAATAGCCAACCAAGTGAGCTTGTGAAAAACTATGAACTTTTTCACTCTGGACCATGATCCATATTTTGTATGATGTTCTCTGAATTCCCAAATAAATATGAGATTTTAGATGTTAATAGTGTGATATGTACAAATATAAAATATAATATTCTGCATTCTTTTTTAAAATCCAGCTTATGATTGATACACCTACCAGTCCAATTACCAGTGGACTTCCATTGTTCTTTGTGATAACAGTTACTGCCATAAAGCAGGTATGAATTACTTTCTATTGTTTTTTTTCTTCCCCAAGTTATTCAGAAGTTGCTTAGTATTTGCACTCCGAAGTAAAATTAATTGTTGTGAAAATAATTTTCATAAGAAAGAAGTAAATTAGTTTGATTTTGCATACAGTAAAATTAAACTGAGTTAAGCCACCCTGTTATACTTTAGGTACCTGGTGACTCATGGGATGATTACAGTTGTTAAAATATGCTGTTCCTTTGACATACCTAGGAAACATCTAAAAGCAAACATTTTATAGGTACAAACCAATTCATATATGAACAGGTTAATTATAATAATGATCTTTATAGAATTTGGCAGTATTTCAAGGAAATATAATTCAAAGGGGGTATATTTATAGGAAGTGAAGCTTGTGCTTCTGGTGTGAACATTTCTGAAGAAAAATTGTGTAGTGCTTTCCTACTTTTTACACCTTCTCTGGTGATGTTGATTTTTATGTAAAGTAGTGTCCTAGGGGAAATAGCTCCAACTGACTTTTGAATTGATATTAAAATCTAGGTATAGAAAAATAGGATTCTTGGGTAAACATGGCAAGTAAGAAATTTAAAAATTCCTAGAAATGTCACGTTTGTATAGCTACCACTTCTCAGAAAGTCTTGTCAGAGGCTCAGTTATACAGAGTTGATCCTTTGCACCTGAAAAAGGGTTAATTTGAATTTTCTTGTGTAAGTGTGATATATTTTCATTTTATAAGATTTCAAGATAAGATTTAAATTGACTTAGAAACAAATTGACAAACATTTTATGATTCTGGGATGTAGTATATTCTTTGTTACTTACATGAGATAAGGGGAATCTATAGATTTAACAGTACATTATTTTTCTGATGTGTCAGTATCAATGCTACTGTCCTAAGTTTGATTTCCCTTTCTTCACTATTCTGTTGCAGACTAGAATTTGTGTAAGTTAGTAAGCACCCAGATTACTTCATGCAATTACATATTTATTTGGTTTTGCAGATGTCATTTACAGCAAGCATTTATTTTTCACAAATGATAGCATAGAATATAACATGTTCTGTACCTTACTTTTATCACTTAATGCTATCTCCTAGATATCATTCCGTTATCTATACTTATCCTGTACCACTGAATTCTTGAATTTTCCCTAAAATAGCACAAGTTTTTTTCTACTTAAAAAAAAATGCCACTCTTTAACATTTAATCAAAGGATTCTTTGTGAAATGCTTGTTTCCTTTTTTGATGGTGATCTGTATAGCCTACCATATTCATTTTGAAGTACAAATTATAATTTTGTTGGTCTGTTGTTTAAGAGAGTGAAAACTCAACCTCGGTTTCAAAATCTGTTTATTTTTTTCTATTTATTGTCTGTAATAATGCCCTGTGAATTTATGTTCTATGATTAAAGTATCATTTGTACATAGAAGCAATAGAACTTATTAAATGAATAGATGTTAGAAAAGGTAGAAATCAAGAATGACTCCTCAGATGCTGGTAGGAGCAACTCAGTAGATGGTGAGATCATTTGTCAAGATGGGAAACATTGGAAATGCAGCAAACTTGGGGGATAACATCATCAATTTAGTTTTGAAAGGTTTAATGTATTTGTGAAACATTAAAATGGAGATATTAAGAGTGCAGTTGGATATTCAACTTAGGTTCAAGAAGAGAGACATGGGCTAAAGATATAATTTTAAAAGTTTTAGAACATACAGAAATAGGAAGATCTTGTAAGAAGTGAAGGATGAAAAAAGGCCCATTAAGATAACATAGAAGGAGCCTCCCATGAGGAAATTGAGAAGGAGTAACTAGAGAGGTACTGTGAAAACCAGAAACATGTGTGTAATGAAAACCAAGAGAAGTGTTTCTAGTAGTAAGGAATGTCAAATACCTATGATATATGCATCAAAATAGCTTAACGTAATTCTAATGAATGAAATGCTTTGGGAGAAGTTTTTATGTTTCTTTTTTTCATTTGATAAAAGTATCTTCTAATTATACTAAAAGGGGCACTTGTTATTTTTTGATGTTTACAGGGATATGAAGATTGGTTACGACATAACTCAGATAATGAAGTAAATGGAGCTCCTGTTTATGTTGTTCGAAGTGGAGGCCTTGTAAAAACTAGATCAAAAAACATCCGGGTATGCATTTCATTTAAAAAAAAAAAATCAGTTTTATCTTGGTATCACAAATTCTAATGTAAATTATATTTTAATTAGAAGCCTTCTTTCCTACATTAAAATATTAGGGTAGCCCACTTGTTTAGAACTGAATGAAAATAATATCTGGCCTTTTAAAATCTGTATATTCCCTTTTCCCCAAAATTCTTTATAGGTGGGTGATATTGTTCGAATAGCCAAAGATGAAATTTTCCCTGCAGATTTGGTGCTTCTGTCCTCAGATCGACTTGATGGTTCCTGTCACGTTACAACTGCTAGTTTGGATGGAGAAACTAACCTGAAGGTTTGTATATGTATATGTGTGTTGCTTTTGGTAAACAAAATGCCTTTGGATTATAGTGATACTTTCTTTTGCTTAAGGTGATAAAGTTTGACTTCATAAAAGATGTTTTAAATTACTGTTTTAAATTAAGAAAAAAAATTTTTTTTCTTAAAGAAATAATACTATTAGGTATTTATTTCAAGGATAGCCCCATGTGGTTTAAAGTTTAAAATGAGAACTATTTTTAGGAAAAATATGATCTTTCAATATTTTGGTACTTATTCAGATGGGAGACACATTTAAATTTTTCTCAATTTTCAGAGTACAATCAAGGATTGTACTTGATTCACTTTTTTTTTTTACTATTAAGTTGTTTACAATAAATTTTGAACAGTAGTGACTATTAACACAGACTTAATTTCCTTATATGCAAATTGCCTCTGTGGACATGTAATCACAGTAGCTTCTTTTGTTACTTGTTATTTTACATTCTTCTCTCCTCTGCTGTCTAAGTAGTCTCAAGTAGAGAATGCTATGAATTCATCTGTAAAAGAGATGTTATTTAAATTAGATGATATTTAAGGTCCCATTTGGATCTTGAAACTACAATTTAATTTTTTTCAGACACATGTGGCAGTTCCAGAAACAGCAATATTACAGACAGTTGCTAATTTGGACACTCTTGTAGCTGTAATAGAATGTCAGCAACCAGAAGCGGACTTGTACAGGTATGGTGTGATTACCATACTCATTTTAAGTCCTGTTTACAGATCTTGTTTTTACGATCATAAATGAGCGATGAAATCTTTAGCTTATTGAAGACATTACTGGAGTGAGCAAGGCAGGAGATCAATTAATGGGGGAAAATGGTAAAGGCAGAATTTACCAGAATTCTAAGTTAAAGTTGATTCAAAAGTACTACTTTTATTCCATTTACCTTCTTTTTTGGCATGAACTGGCTTTATAACAATAACAGTAAACTTTATAATACGGGGAATGTATAGCTCAAGTGATAGAGTGCATGCTTAGCATGCACAAGGACCTGGGTTCAATCCCCAGGGCCTCCCCTAAAAATAAATAAATCTAATTACCTTCCCCCTTACACACACAAAAAAAAAAAGAAAGAAAAAGATAACTATTTTTGTAAACTGACTATAACTCAATAAAAAAAATTTTTAAAAACTTTATAATAGTAATTATAACAGAAATAAGATTATTTCCTTAGAAGAAAATAATCTAATGAGGGTATGTGTGGGTGTGTGTCTTTATGTGTGTACTTCATGAAGGCATGTCTTTTTGTTCACTAGGAACTAATTCCCTTTTAATATTACAATTCATTAAATAAAATGTAAGTCGTCTTTCAATGATACACTGCTTATTGTGGACTATGGAATAGAAACAACTTTTTATTATTAAAGACTTACAAACTAAACTTATTTTTTCTCAATAATTGGTGATAGAATATAAATTACAGCCATATTGTAAAAATTACCCTCAGTTTTTTGTCACATATCTCCCTCTGTTGGTTGAAGTGTTTCAAAATCTTATCATTAGTCATTGACTTTTTCAAATCTCATCTTTGTTCTGGAACCACATATTTATAGTGGAGTTTTCTCTATCTCATGTTCTAAGTCTTGCATTTTCATCAAAGTCAAATGCAGTATAGAGTTTTCCAGTTAACTGTAAAAGTTTGGAGTCTTGTGCTTTACAAGCATTGTAACTATAAAATAGAGTTAATGGAAAAATTTAGTACTTTATGAGTTCTATATTGCTGTTATTTCCAAGTCCCAGGCAAGGGTAAATTATAAGATTATTAAAAACTAGAAAATGATGCAGCATTAAACAAGCATAAGATTAATATGAGATCAAGTATTACTAACGCTTTGGTGGGTGGTTTTTACATTATTTGGAAAATGGGGAGAAAAATTTTTAAAACTTTTTAATTACTTAAATATAAGGTCTTCCTCATTATTTTTTCTTTTCCTCTTCCTTAATAAAAGTGTATATTTTCTTTTAAATATTAACATAACATAACTATTACAGAAGACTGTTAGAATAGAAAGATAATTCGTAATTATGCCATTATTTCAAAAATTTTACAGCTATTTTTATTCATTTATTTAACAAATTATTGTTGAGCACCTATGTGCTCATTATGATAGGTGATAAATAAGATGAGTAAGCATAGTTTCTGTCCTTGAGGAACTCAAGGTATTTTACATATAATAAATATACTCAAAGATATTATATATAATAAATTAAATTTTTTCACTTTATTATATATTATATATGAGGGAAGCATTGAAAGCATTTTCAGTGTCCAAGTAGGAGAATACTTAAATGGATATATGGTACAGATAGAAGATGAACTATGTAGATAATAAAAATGATGCTTTCAGAGAATTTAATGACAAAGGTACATACTAAAATATAATATTAAATAAAATAAGATAAGAGTTGTGGTTTCATATGATCATAATTATATGAAAAGAAATGTGTATGTGTATGTATTTGATGGGCAAGTAGTTAGGAAGATAGAAAAAATATATAGGTATAGAGAGAAACTTGGAAGAATTACTTGTCAGAATGTTACTAGTTGTTTCTTGGTGTTAGGATTTCAGCTGCCTTTTAATTACCTTTTTTATTCTCCTTATTTTTTAATATTTCTTGAAAGAATATGCGTTGTTTTTATCATTGAAATATTTTCCATCTTACTGCACAGTATTCTTCATGATCATTTTTAATGGCTGCCTAATAGTCTTAGTAAATGTACTAGAATCTAACCATTCTGCAGTCTTTGAATACCTGATTCTTCCATTGTTTTGCTGTTAACAAATACTGCATGGCACCTTATTACACTTAAGTTCTCCAATTCAAAATCCAGTAGTTGGATAGTTCATCATTCCCTCCTCTTTGATACAGTTTGTTCCCTTGGCTTCTGGGACACTCCCCTCTTGATTTTCCTCTAATTTCACTAGTTCTGACTTCTTGATGTTAGTGTGCTCCAGGACTATTCTCAATCCTCTTCCCTTCTCTACCTATACTTTCACTATGTATGCTCACTCCTTTGTGATCTCATTCAATCTCTTGACTTTAAAGACCATCTACATGCTGTTGATTTCAAATTTATATCTCCATCCCAGACTTCTTTCCCAATCTTCGAATTCTTACATCCAAATTCCTGTTCCACAATTCCACTTGGATATTTAGTAGAAATCTCAAACGTAATCATATTGAAAGCTGAACTCCTGACCTTCCCTCTGAAGCTGTTTATGCTAACAGCCTTTCCCAACTCAGTTGACGACAGTCCATCCTCTCAGTTGTTCAGGGTCAAAACCTTGGAGTCAGCGATGACTCTTCACATATCCTCACTACTCACTTCTTCTCACCTCCTCACCCACATCTCATTTCAATCTGTCAGAATGTCTTATTGGTTTACCTTCTTTAATAAATCCAAAATCTGACCATCTTTCACCAGTTTCACTGCTACTAACTTGGTCCAAACCAGCATCATCTCCTGCTTGAATTATTTCTGTCAGAGGCATCCTTACTGTTCTTTCTGTTTTTACCCTTCTTTTCCCTGCAGTCAGTTTGTTCTCACAAAAGTAGCCAGAGTGATCCTTTTTAAATGTAAGCTAGATTATGTCATTTCTCTGCTCAAACGCTGCAGTGATTTTTCTATCTCACTCCAAGTCAAAGCTCTTATCTTTATAATGATCTATATGACCTTATTGATTTCCCCCATCTCCAGTATTTCCTCTCTGACCTAGTTTTTGGCCCTTCTCCCTTTTGCCTCACCCTCCAGCTACATTGGCTTTCTTATTTTCCCTTGACTATGCCATACCCACTCCCACCTTTTCACTAACTGTTCCTTATCTAGCTTCTTTACCACCTTCTACTCTTTGCTTAAATCACCTCCTCAGTGAGGCTTACTTTGACTGTAATACTGGGACCTAATTCTTACTCTGTTCTGCTTTTCTTTTTCTATAGCACATAATACCTTTTGGTATACTATGTAAATTACTTGTATTTATTGCTTATTATTTCCCTCTCCAACTAAAATGTAAACTCAAGGACAGGCATCTTTGTGTGTTCTGTTCACTGATGTATCTCAAACACCTGAACAGATCTGGCATATTGGAGTCACTACTACATATTTGTTGACAATAGAAAAGAATAAATATATTATGTACTTAATTTTTTGCACTTAAATTTTCCCTTTTATTGAAGTATTTCTCTGTGATATGTGCAAGCAAGATTTGTGTGTGTATAGTTCACTTAACTATTGAATTGAAGTACCTAGAACAGTGTCAGGCACATAGCAGACACTCAGTAATTAACTGTTGATTGAGTGGATGAATGATAAGAGTTCCAAACTGTTACTTAATCAAAGTATGTGAGAACGTTTTTATTGCCCATTTATTCATCAGATAGTGCCTCCAATAACTGAGGCATAGTGCTTGACACTGGGAATACAACAGTAAAGAAGCAGCGATAGCTCCTGACTCTCAAAAGAGTTTATAGTCCAATACTTGATTATTCCCTAAGAACAAACAGCTGCAAAAATGGAGTTAGTGAATTAAAACCCTAATTGAGTTTGGCCTTTGATAAACATACTGACACATTACTTAATGGAAACATTGAATTATTTTTTATTGCCATGAGCAAAGTATTGTTTCAGAATTTTACTGCTATTAAGTATTATAGTTTTGAAATTTTTGCTGATTTTGTAGATAATAGTTTTATAGTTTTGAACCTAGTTTTAATTTGTTTTTTTATTAGAAAGGCTAAACATTTTTCTGTGTTTATTAATTTTTCTCCCTTGAACATTGTCAGTTCCTTCACAATTACCTGTTTGTTAACTTGGGTTACATTGTCTTTTTAAAGAACTTAAATAACTAATTGAGGAGAGGCTAGAGCATGGTAAGAAATTATCTCTGCCAAACCACTAGATGAAATAAAAACAGGTTCTACAGGTGCCTTTTTCACAGTATTCTCCATTTTCTCTTTTTATGCTCCTTTGCTCTTTTTGTTCTTTCTTTTATTCTTTCCACTTTTTTTTTTTTTAAACCTCTGACTCGTCACTTCCACTTCTAGGAGGTTTTCCTAACGAAATAATGAAATTCTACTTCTAGGAATTTACCTTAATGAAAATGTGAAAAGATATGTACAGAGGGTTGTTCAGAGCTGCATTGTTTAGACTATCCATAAATTGGAAAAAACTTTAACTTCCATCACTAGCGAATTACTTAAATAAATCGTGTAATAACCCCAAAATACAATACTATATGTGGCCATTAAAAATAATGATGTAGTTGTTTTTGACAGAGCACATTGGGGGGGTGTTACCAACCGTATTTTTATACATGAGATATATAAATATTTACCTATATGCATATGAAAAAAAGCCTAGAAAACATACCTTAAAATATTAACAGTGTTTTATTTGAGTAATGGAATTACCGGTGGTGGTTATTTCCCCCTTTGATGTCTTTTCATATTTTCAGAATCATTTATAAAATGTGTATTTAGTCTTTATAATCAGAAAAGAGAATAAAGTTCTTTCCATTTAGAAACAAATCAAAGTGTGAGTTTGGAGAAAGGACTAAGGAAAGTGCAACAAGAGTTAATCTAGCATGGAACTGGCATGAACAGATACAAGAAATGCCTTAGAATCAAGGATAATAGGATAGATGAAATAAAGGAAAACAGGTCTCTTGGAATTTAGCTTAGGAAAATAAAAACTGACCACACATCATCTATGAAAAGTGCCAAGGAGACATCAGCTGAGTTGATTCTTTGAATCTAAATCCAAAGTTGAGGCTCAAACCAGAGCTACATAAAATTCCATTAAATGGAGATGATTTTTTTTTTAAGTGCTGCTCCCTGATACAGGAAGCTGAACGAAGTAGAAGTAAGAGATTAGTAAGAAACAGTGAAGCCAGAGTCCACAAAGGGTAAAGCATCGGTGCCCTAGAAACAGGAGGGATAATAGGGGACATCTGGAAGGGAATGCTGAATAGTTCTTTGCCATGTTAAATGATTAACATGAAGCTCTGCTTAGAATTTGCTTCAACTTAGAATTTACTTCTCACTATAGTAGAAAGTAATTTTACACTTGAGTTGACTGTGCTACAGAGCTGTTTTGGTAGTGGAAGCTGGAACTGAAAAGTCAGGGTATGAAAATTCATTATGACAACAGGCCACTCACTCTAAATTTCAGGAAACCAAAAGTTTAAAAAGCTCTGGAGGTCACTAATAGTTTTTTGCTTACTACACTAACTTCACCACATAATTCACACATAGTAGTTGCTTAGTGAATATTTGTTGGGTAAATGAGTGCATAAAAAAGTAAATGAATGAGCCAGTGATTCTGGTTACAGGAGTCTTTGTTTAGTAAACTGATGAAATGTATGAGCATTCATTTTTGGCTAAATAATGTATATGCATCTTTGTGTAGCAAGTATAAATTCTCATCATGACCAAGCTGATAATATATGTAATGATGTATAACATTTGCATTGCTATCTTGAAAACATTTTTTTCATTCATTAACTTATTCATAGCTGGAGTAGAGAAGGCAAGAATTTTACATTTTTTAAAGCTTAATGACTGATAAGTATTTACTTTTATAATTTCTAACATGAATATTGGACCACTCACTTATCTATGCAAAAGACTGAATTTGTTTCATGTATAAGAATAGTATGAAAACTATCTAAAATTTTCCACCCATTGATATCATAAGTAATGTACTTTTTTTTTTTTGGCATGTTGACATCTTTGATAGATTCATGGGACGAATGATAATAACTCAACAAATGGAAGAAATTGTAAGGTAAGAATAAATTTGCATTGTCTAGTTACTTTTAAGTGAGAATTGTTTACTGGAGGGCTAAAATCAAGTTAAAGGGAGATTAGATAAGTAAGCAGTGTATTATGAGAAAGGGTTAATTTTAAAACGTTTAGCATTTCATCTTATAGTAAATTCTTGCAGCAGCAAATGAGATGAGGATGAAACAAATCCCATGAAATAATACCAAAATAATTTAGTAAGATTATTTGTATTCTTATAAATTTTTTTCCTAATAATATAACTTAGTAACATAAAGGAAACATAGTAGTTCCTGTTTAAATCCTTACACATTTAAACCCACCACCACTTAAAGTCTTAGAGTACAAAAAATGTTTTATGTAACATTTAACAAGTAAAAATGTTATTGTCTCCATGTCAGAATCATTCAGCACAAACTAGGGTATTTATTGGCCAATCCAGAACTTTTTATTTACTCTTCTGATTGGTTATTTGTTTAGTTGTTTTGGTTTGTGTTCCCTCAGTATTGAGGTTAATTTCTGGCACCTGTATGAAAAGCTTTGGTTCATTTCAGCACTTGCTGATAGGATGCGATTACATTGTTACTCATGACCACAAAGCTGAATTTAGAATAAACTTAGGTAGGAATCAGCCCTTGAACTTCTAATCAAACTAGCACTCCACCTCTTTTCTGGAGACATGTTCAATTTATACTGGCTGCATGAAATAAGTCACTAATATAGAGAACTGAGAATGTTTTAAATGAAATCCTTAAAACAAGCCACCAAAAATATGCATCAGCACAGATTCACATTTTTAATAAACATTAACACTGGAGCACATTCAATAAACTCTGTGTAACAAAGTCTTTTAAGTATAGGGCCCCTGCTGAATAACAATGACTGAAAAACAGTAACAATGGGTTTCATTTTGATTTCTGTAGTGTCATAGTGGGATGCATGTGTGGATACGTAGTCTGAATTTAAAGGAGAAGATCGATTATGTTACCTTAGGCACTAGAATGGTTTGGGGAGAAAAAAAAAAGAGCCATATTCTTTATTGAAGCAACCTGAGTGAGCTGATGAATTATCTTTTAAATTTGAAGCTTTTTATCATTATATTCCAATTTCATATCCCAGTGTGAGCTCAGAGTTTTTCTATTCATTGTTGAAACCAATACCAAATGAAAAAAAAGCTATAATATGGCTCCTGAATAATTGATTTTGGAATATCCATTGAGTGTGCTCCAAATATGACCATCTGATAAAACCATACTTGTTTACCGTGTCCCAAACACCTGGCCCCCGCTCAGTTCATTGGATTTTTTACAGTGTTTGGGTTTGCAGACATCTTCAGAATTGGTTCACATTCTTTTTGATTTGGATAACTGTATGAATGATTCAGAAAAGCCTTATGATAAGGAATATCAACAAAATTAAGGCTTTTTTTTACATGTCCATAATAGAGTCTTATCATTTGCTATCACTAAGAAAATACAATTTTCCTTTCTAGTTATTCCTTCTCGTTTTATATCTCCTTTATGGAGAGAAATTCAAACAGCAAGAAGACGCGTGCTCCAAGAAGTATGCAAGTAGTCAAGTTGTAGTGTTGATCTTGCCTGGAAAAAGTACTAACTCACTTACGATTTTTTCTGTTTTATATCTAGTGTAATTTTAATTGTGCAGAACTTATGCATTTATATACACAAAGCATACTACAATTTATGTTTACATTACATTTTAATTTTGTATTTTCCCTTTGAAAACTTAACTTTGCTCAGAATTTTAAAATTTCATCTTCTGTAAAACATTTTAAAATCATTGCTTAATTTTTGGTTTTGTTGTGTTCCATGTTTAAACTTCTGAAATAGATGGCTTTGTGAGTTTATTTACAGGCGTAATTTTATTTCTGAGCCATTGATCTTAAAATGACTGAAATGCTAAAGCAGGTATTTGTTATTACAGTAACTAACATCATGATTGGCCTAGACAGCTTTATAGCAGCTGAGATTTTGGTTTTAAATATAAAAGCATCGTTGTAAGTATAGCTCAAGTACTTTCTGCTAAAGATGCCATTGTAGAATTTAATTCAATTTTTAATATATTCAGTGCTTTTGGTTATTTTTTTTCCCCTAGGCCTCTGGGGCCAGAGAGTCTCTTGCTTCGTGGAGCCAGATTAAAAAACACAAAAGAAATTTTTGGTTGGTATATATCAAAAATTCTTAATTATAGATTCATGTTGATACTTTATATGAAGTATTTTTACAGGCACAGCATTTGTGGTCTTTTGGTTAGGGAATGTTATTATTAGTCAAATGTTTCTGTGATCATTTTGTTTCACAGGTTGTGTTAATATAATTTTGTGGGGTTTTTTGTTGTTAATTCCTATTTTTAAGTAACAGACTGGAACCTTGCTCTTATATTTTCATTGCGGCTACCTGGTGAAATTGAGTGCTAGGAAGATAATTCTGGGACTTCCACTAATGGTAGATGAGAACTATAAAATCTGACACCATGATCCAGTAAATTACTCGTCTAATTTTATCATGATTGTTCTTAGATTTGATTAATAAAACTGCTGACTCATTTATTCATCCATTTATTGATTCAGCAAATTCTTACTGATCTGTAGCTATATACCATATACTGTTGGAATACTCAACAGTACTCTTGCGTTAGAGATCTAAATTAATTCACTGGGCTCTGACTCAACTCAAGGCAAATTGTAAAGTCAGTGATAATCTTTAGCTGTCATCTAGCTACTCCCCTTTCAGGAATGGCCCCTCATATACTGCCCAGCTTATGTTATTCACTGAACAGTTATAGCTTTTGAGGTCCTCTTTCTCATTCTCTTATTTCCTGTTAACTGTACTGTATCTTATCTCTCAGTATTAGGCTCTCTGATAAAGAAATCCATATACTTTTAAAAACAGAAATAAGGAGTACAGCAAAAATGTGAAGAAATTGGAACTTTTATATATTGCTGGTGGGAGTATGCAGCTGCTATGGAAGACAGTGTGGCAGTTCCTCAATAAGTTAAACATAGAATTATCATATCACCCAGCAATTCTACTTCTAGATATATAACCTAAAGAATTGAAAACATATGTTCAAACAAAGGCTTGTATGAGAATGTTCATAGCAGCACTGTTCACAATAGTCAAAGGAGAGAAAGTGCTCAAGTTCTGTCAACTAATGAATGGATAAACATACGTGATATCCATATAATGGAATATTATTTGCCCATAGAAAATGAAGTACTAATGCATGCTACAACATGGGTAAAACTTGAAAAACATACTAAGCGAAAGACATCAGACACAAAAGGGCCACATATTTTTTGATTCCACTTATTTGAAATATCCCAAATAGGCAAACTCATTGAGACATAAAGGAGGTTAGTGGTCCCCAGGGGCTGGGGAGTGGAGGGGATTGGGGGAAAAATTACTTAATGGGTACAGACTTTTCATTAAGGGTAATGAAAATATTCTCAAGTTAGTGAGAATGATTGCACAACACTGTGAATGTACTAAGTGCCACCGAATTGTACACTTTAAAATGATTAAATGGTAAGCTGTATATTATGTGTATTTTACCACAATTTAAAAAAGGAAAACTGTAATTTTTGATGGCAGAAGTCAGAGAAAGCCTCTATAGCTTTTAGACTCTCTCATGTAGTGCTCATGTATTTTAACACATCTCTTTAGCAGTAACACCTTTCATGCTCTTGAAAGAACATATGTATTCGAATGCCTTTAGATGGGTTCCTTGTTGTTTTCCTCAGCACCACTTTTCTCTTGTATCATTCTGGCTGATTACTCACATTTCTATAATTTTGGTGTCCTTTGTCATTTGAGTTGTAATCCCTGCCTTTAAAGAATAATTCTGATAGTGAAAATTCCAGGACAGATCTTAAGGAAGAGATCCTATATTGCTTCTCAAATTTTAGTATTTAGGGGTAGGCATTAACTTTTATTGATCATCTTTCTGTTTCTAGGCGTTATTGCTAATTTGTTACATAACTCTCAACAACAGTTGTATGAGGTATTTTTTCCCCCGTTTAAAAATAGGGAAATTGAAACTCAGAGAGATTAAATAACTTGCTCAAGGTCACAGAATTAGTAAGTGGCAGAGCTAGCATTCAGACCAAGCTCTAACTCAAACCCAAGTTTGTTCTTTTTTAATAAGACAGATTTTACCTAATTTTATTCACTGCCCAGTTTTAGTTCCATTATTACTGTCATTCTCTCTCATCTCAGAGTCATTCACATAGACAAATTTTTTAAATAGCACTTTTCTTGTGTTTACTTCATTTACTTTAACAGATTTCCATATTATCTTTCCAGTGCTTATAAAATTATTTCTAGACTCCAGATCTGGCATTCAGTGCCTTTCAAGCTCTGACCCCAATCCATTGTTAGAACCTAACAGAAAACTCTTCCATTTTGGTCTTTGCACTATCTATAATGGCCTTCCCTGCCATCTTTATCTTTTCACATTCTTTTCCTCCATCAATTTCAACTCAAATAATATCTCTTTCATTCAGATATCTCAGTTATAACTCAGGAACAGAACCTACATGCCTTTCTTGTCCAGCAGACTCAGTGACTGAAGGTCCCCAAAATTGAACTTGGAAAGCCTTTTTTAAACTCCAGAGAAACTTAGAGCCAAATTCTGACAGCTGTCAGACAATATATTTTCTTAGATGTTTTCATTGCTACTGAGTACATTTTTTTTGTGAACATGGTAGAGGACTATTTTAAAAGACTGTTTTGTTTCATTTTGCAGGTGTTGCTGTATATACTGGAATGGAAACTAAGATGGCATTAAATTACAAGAGCAAGTCACAGAAACGATCTGCAGTAGAAAAGTAAGAAAACTATTTTCATTTATTCACACAAAAATACGATTATGGATATGTGTATTATATATGTGTAAAATATAGGTATAAAAATATTTCAAGTCAACAAAAGTTGTTATTCTTGAGGTTAGGAATGGTGTCTCTTTTACTTACTAATTTTTTAAGTTATTGAAATAAAGCTGATGTACAATATTGTGTTAGTTTCAGGTGTACTACATAATGATTTGACATCTGCATACATTATGACGTGATCATCACAATAAGTCTAGTGATCCATACAAAGTTTTTGCAATATTATTGACCATATTCCTTATGCTGTATATTACATACTTGTGGATTATTTATTTTATAACGAGAGGTTTGTACCTCTTAATCCCCTTCGCAATTTTATCCATCCCCAAACCCCAGCAAGCAACTGCCCATTTTTTCTTTGTATCTATGAGTCTTTTTATTTTGTTGTTTTGTTTTTTTGATTCCACATGTAAGGAAGATCATATAGTATTTGTCTTTCTCTATCTGAGTTACTTCACTTAGCATAATACCCTTTAGATCCCTCCATGTTGTCACAGGTGGCAAGATTTCATTTTTTTAAGGGTGAGTAATAGTCCATTGTGTATATATGTGTGTGTGTATGTATATATATATATCACATCTTCTTTATCCAGTCATCTGTTGATGGATACTAAGGTTGCTTCCATACCTTGGCAATTGTAAATAACTCTGCAGTCAACATTGGGTACATATATCTTTTTTAACTAGTGTTTTTGTTTTCTTTGAGTAAATACCCAGAAGTGAAATTGTGAGATCATATAGCAGTTCTAGTTTAACTTTTTTGAGGAACCTCCATACTATTTTCCATGGTGGCTGTACTAATTTACATTGTCACTGATTGTGTGCTAGGATTTCCTTTTCTCCACATCCTTACCAACACTTGTCATTTGTTCTGTTTTTGAAGATAGCTTTTCTGGCAGGTGTGAGGTAGTATCTTATTGTGGTTTTGATTTCAAATGCTTACAGTAAATGACAGTTTTGGCCAGTTATTTTTGTTGTAAGTAATTATTCCAAGATTTTCTACATTTTTAGGAACTAATTTTAAGTGCAAACATAACTAACATTTGTACAGCATTAAGACGTCATAAAACTTCTCTCATATCAACCAACTTGTCTAAGCATTTGAACAGTAGCTTACCTATAGTAAATGTGCTTGTAATCTTACATACCTGTTCTTTTATTTCTAGTAAATAGATTCTATTAAATGATCATTTCTTAAAAACAAAGACTGTGTCCTTTAAATAGCTGCTACAATACCTTATATATTTAGTTTCTTATTTAACACCAGTATTAATTTCCAAGTAGATGAGCATAGTAACACATAATTGATACATTTTATAGTCTCTTTTTCTCATTTCAGGTCAATGAATACATTTTTGATAGTTTATCTAATAATCCTTATTTCTGAAGCCATCATCAGTACTATCTTGAAATATACATGGCAAGCTGAAGAAAAGTGGGATGAACCTTGGTATAACCAAAAAACAGAACATCAAAGAAATAGTAGTAAGGTATTTTATGGTGTTCTTGACTCTGTTGTATAGGAAATTTTATTCTTTGGCACTATTAATGCTTTGGTGATGACTTCTCATATGTGTGACCACTGTCATCCTGTAAAACCGTTACTTTTGAAGGGTGCAAAAGGACATTGCAAGTGAAGAGTAGCCAACGTGTTTGTGCTGGTTTGCTTTTTGCATTGTAGGCCATAAGCAATTATCTTTTTGGCATGACTTGAGTAGTTAAAAGAGATAACAAAAATTTAAATCGTCTATATTAGCATTCCACATCAGTACTACAAGTTGAATTTTTTACTCCATTTATTGTATGTTATCGAGTTAAAGAGTAAGTTGATTTATTTTCAGTTTTATCAGAATAAATCTAGGAGTCTTAGTATCAGTGTATTCATGTATGAAGTAACAAATCAAATTGTGTCATAAAAGTTTAAACTGGTTGAGTGTGGACTACCAGGAGAAGTTAACCTGCAATTTTAGTAAATAATTGTTCTCCAGATTTCACTTTAGATCAGAATACAAATATTGGAAGACAAATTTGGATCTCAAGAGACCACAGAGCAGATAACGACAGGAACGTTTTTTCAGTATCAATCACAATTAAATATTTTACCTTTCCCAGAACACATGTGGAGTTGCTCTGCCATTGAAGTAGGCTATTCCTGTATGGTCAATAATTAAGAATTTCAGTTTCTAATAGTTCTAGCCTAGCTATTATTTTAAATTTTTTAAATTACAGTCAATTTGTAGTTATCTGATTTTGAAGACTAGAAGTAGAATAGTAAATATACTCCAAAGGTTTTCATTATGGTTTTGCCACAGGTAGTTTTTAGTCGCAAAACGTTTTTGGTAGCTTCTATAAAAAGTAACAAATTAAGTAATTTGAATTTAACCTTTTCTTCTTTTACTGTGTTCAGGATTCTAATGAACAATAAAATAACCAAAGGAAATGTGTTAAAAAGACAATTCAGTAAATGAATTTCAATTCATGAGACTATTCTGCTTCAGAATGTAGTTGATGGTCTGTTTTGATATGAAACTGTCTTACAGTTTTCTTAAATATCTGATAATTAAGAAATTCTCATGTATTTTCTCTTACCAAACAATCATTTTCCCTCCTAGATTCTGAAATTTATTTCAGACTTCCTTGCTTTTTTGGTACTCTACAATTTCATCATTCCAATTTCATTATATGTGACAGTCGAAATGCAGAAATTTCTTGGGTCATTTTTTATTGGCTGGGATCTTGATCTCTATCATGAAGAATCAGATCAGAAAGCTCAAGTCAATACTTCTGACCTAAATGAAGAACTTGGACAGGTAATGATGATTGTTTTGTTTTTCTGATTTGTTATTTTTATCAAAATTATACATGTACAAAGATAAATGAAACAAAAATATTATGAGGCTTATACCAAAAAAAACACTACTTTGCTCCATACCTAATTTCTTATTTCACAGTTTTAAATATTAAGCCATTTCTTTCACTATTTAGCACTGTGTTTGTATATAGTATTCTTTGTTGTTTTTCAATTTGAGACATTATTTACCGTGGAATATAAAGTTATAACTCTTACACTACTCCTTTCACAACCTATGCAAACAGACGCATACCCACTTTACTGCCCCATGGTCCCAATATTGTTAAATCACAATTTGAGATTTAATAAATATTCACTTACTGACATTATTATGACTTTCAGAGTCGTTCACTAACTCCTATAATACTATGATTACATTTTCTTTCTTAGATGTTTTTGCTAGAGTTAATTGTTCTGTATTTTCATTTTTTAATTTCCGTATACCAAAAACAAATCTCTGACAAATAAATGAAACATCTCTACGTATTCAAACACATCAGGTAATCTAGGACTTCTTTAATCTTTATTGATCTCTCCCTCACTCTCTTTTGAAGCCTTTTATCTTCCTGCTTTAATTCAGACTTCTTTCTGGGCCAGCTTCTCAGCCGTCACCCTAGACTTCCTTTATCATCACCTTGGCAGTTCCTTTGTCTACCTCCTGTTTTGGATTTCCTGTCTTCTAGATTCTGTGTCTTCCCACCTGTGACTTACTTTCTTATTTCTTCTAATAACTTCTGAAAGGGGGTGCGTAAGAAAAATATTTTGAGCTTTGAAAGTCTGAAAATATCTTGATTCCCTTTTTACACTTGATTAATAATTCAGCTGGGTAACACGTTCTAGGCTGGAAATTATTTTTCCTCAAAAATTCAAAACCATTTCTCCATTTTTGTTTTTTTTCCCCTAGCTTCTAATGTTTCTGTTAAGTCTAGTGCCATTCTGACTCCCGGTTCTCTATGTATAGTTTGTTGTTTTATCTCTGAAAGTATTTAGGGTTTAAGAATCTTCTCTTTCTGCAATAATTCTGAAATTTTATGATAGTATACCTTGGTGTGAGTTTTTTGTTTTTGTTTTCTTTCTTTTTTTTCTTTCGTTGGGCGGTGAACACTGAACACTTTTAGTCTGGAAACACATATTCTTCAATTCTAGGAATTTTTTTAAATTTGATAGCATGTCTTTTTATGTTTTGTGGGGTTGTTTTTTTTTTTTTAGAAATTTATTAGTTTGGATGTCAGATCATTTATCTTGATTCTCTAATTCTTTTTGACTTTCAACTTTCATTTCCTTGTTTTTATAATCTGCTTTTTGGGAGAATTTGTGAACTTTGTATTTCCCCCTTTCTTTTGATTTCTTTTATATCTATTGTAATATTTTAAATTTCTAATAATTCTAGTATATCTGAATAGCCTTCTCTTAATTACATCTTATTCTTGTTTCCTGAATATAATTTATTCTTTTACCTCTCTGAGGATATTAATGACAGTTTTTTTAAAGTCTTCTGCTCCCTGCATTTTCTGTTTGTACAGAGTTCCTTTTTCAATACGTCAATTCTGCTGTAATGTGACACGCATCCCTAAAAATCAATGTTCTATACAAAATTGCTTAGTGAAAACCACAAGGCTTATTATAGGAAAATGAGATAGATGTACAATAAAACTTTGTCAGTAACACATTTAAAATAAAAAGATAGGAACCTGATAAAAACAGGGCTTGCTGAATTATTAAGAAATAGATAAATACTGCAATAAATATGGCAGTTTATTTTGGAAAAACTCTGACGTTTACTTGTGGAAATGGCCATCTGAAATATTCCAACTTATATATTACTGTGAAGTATTGAAAGGAAGGTTATCAGAAAACAGAAGGAAAGTTGTATCATATGTGGATGGGTGCAGCTTATGTATGGTGACCTGTGGTAGCTGCTAGCTGTTTGTACATTTCATGTATTCTAGGTGCAGTTTTCTCCATTCACCTACCATTTCTCATAGATGAAATTGTACATAACCAAACTGTGCTCATATTATGCTCAAATTTTGTCCTTATGTATCAATCTTATTGTAATAAATTCTTGTCCTTTTAAGACAGTGTTTTACCAGAATTTCCTATAATTCGTTTTAGACTCTACCTTTTTATGTAAGTGGATATCCTCAAATGAATACTAATGTTTGGTTTTCTTTACAAGTCTAAAAGTTTCCTCTAGAAAAGCCTGGCAGCCCAGCTGTTTTTTGGGGTGTTCCCAATATCGATATTGATCTTTTTTCAGTTTCCCCAGAGAGAATAACTGCGGTTGGTATTTCTTCTGCTTGTGATTGTTGGAGCTGTTCAGTAGAAACCTGTTTTTAGTGCACGGCTCACCCATTTTCAGCTTTCCACAGGGTCCAGATTCTCTCTGGTTCAGCCTCCTTAGAGAATAAACCCTATCCGCTATTGCTCTGATAGAAGGGGGTCAGTATCAAATTTGCAAAGTTATGAAGGGGTCAGGATTCAAACTGCTCTTGATACCTCCATTTTCCATCTCATCCTTTACTCCCACATTCAGTGATAGTTAGTACATCTACTTTTGAGAGTTTCTGGGGATAGGGTCTCTCCCATTGCTTAGGTTTCATGTTCTAAGTTCTGCTAAGTCACTTACTATTGATTCATCTCTTTTCCAAACTTGGAAAATTCCCCTTTTCATGTTGTCTCTTCTGTCATTGTTTCTGTTCTTTTTTTTAATTCGTTTACTCTTATTTTGGTGAAATTTGAAGAGGAACAGAGATAATTAATTGCATTTGTTCAGCCTGCCATTTTTAACCAGAAGTTGATCCATTTATTTTTAATAGCATTTAGGAGGCTTTAATAACTTAACACTAAATATTAATTCATGTCACATTTTTTGAATTATGTGTTACATATTTAAGACCTAAAAACAGCCTGTTTTTACTGCTTCTCAGGAACACATTTTTTCCCTATTTTTTTCTTTGACTTTTTCTATCCCTATTTTCTCCTCCTCGTTCCTTTATGTATGATAGATTATCGTTTTTCTGGAACCACACACTGTATGCTCATATGCTTATATCTGCATTCTCTTTAAGAAACTATAAATGATAACGGTCTTCAGTTTCTAATTCATCAGTTTCTTTACTTTTAAGCCTACAGGTATGTTTTTGTTTGTGCTTCTGTTACTTTTCTGTTTTTATGTTAATGAAATCTACTTTATTTCACACTCTTCTATGTCCTTTCATTTCCTTACTATCCAAGAAATTGTCTTATAAAGGTATCCAGTGACCTCTTTCACCAAAGTTAAAAGATTTAACTTCTTGATTTTATGTATTTTCAAATAAAAGTTAATTTATATTACTCATCACTACCATTTAATCTTTCTTATTATTGAAGTATGGTTATGTACAATATTATATAACTTACATATGTATAATATAGTGATTCAGTTTTCAAAGGTTATACTCCATTTATAGTTATTATAAAATATTGGCTATATTCTCCGTGTTGTACAATATATCCTTATAGCTTATTTTATACCAAATAATTTGCACTTATTAATCCCATGCTCCTATATGACCCCTCATTCACAACCACTAGTTTGTTCTCTGTATCTGAGTCTACTTCTTTTTTGTTATATTTACTAGTTTGTTGTGTTTTTTAGATCCCACATATAAGTGATACTATACAGTATTTGTTTTCCTCAGTCTGATTTATTTTGCTTAACATAATGCCCTCCAAGTTCATTGATGTTACTGCAGATGGCAAAATTTCATTCTCTTAATGGCTTAGTGGTATTCCACTGTGTGTATACACCATATCTTCTTTATCCATGCATCTGTTGATGGACACTTAGGTTGCTGTCATATCTTAGTAATTGTAAATAATGCTACTATGAACATTACCATGTGTCCTTGCAAATCAGTTTTTTTAGGGTTTTTTGTTTGTTTGTTTGTTTTTTGTATATATACCCAGGAGTGGAATTGCTGGGTCATATGGTAGTTCTATTTTTAGTTTTTTGAGAAAACTCCACTGTTTTCCACAGTGGCTGCACCAGTTCACATCCCCATGAGCAGTGTACGAGGGCTGTCTTTTCTCCACATCTTTGCCAATGTTTGTTATTTGTATTCTTTTTGATGATAGCTGCTGACCGTGTGAGGGTTTTTTTCCCCAACATTAACTTTACCTCCCTTTTTGTATATTGATCTTTTATTTTTGCAATCTTGCTGAACTCATTTATTAGTTCTATTAGTTTTTTGATGTATTCATTCAAATTTGCTATAAAAAAGGAAATAGATTAGTTTTTATCTTTTTCCCAATGTGAATACCTTTTATTTCTTTTTTCTTGCCTAACTACCTTGGCTAGAACATTCAGTAGAATGTTAAATAAAAGTGACAAGAGCAGACATTTTTGTCTTATTCTTGAACTTAAGGGGAAAGCATTCGGTTTTTCTGCATTAAGGTATGATCCTTGCTATAGGTTTTTTATAGATACATTTTATCAGATTGAGTACCCTTCTGTCCCTGATTTGTTGAGTGCTTTTACATGAAAGGGTATTGAATTTTGTCAAATGCTTTTTCTGCATCTATGGAGATGATCATTTTATTAATAGAATAAAGGACAAGTATTGTTCTGTTATAATGGTGGGTTTCATTGATTTGATTTTTGTATTTAACTAATCTTGTATTCCAGGGTTAAATCCCACATGTCATGATGTGTAATCCTTTTTATATCTTTTCGGATTTGTTTTGTTTGTATTTTCATAAAAGATACTGACTGTGGGTTTTTTTTCCCCTTACGATATCTGCTTCCCTTTGTAAATGACTTCTTTCTCAGATCATTATTGCAATAATCAAATCCTTACTATAATCCTACTTATATGAAGATTTGACTATTTTATCTTTCTTTTTGAGGACCTATCTTATTTTAGGGTTATTTTCCTAAAATTAGCCTCGAAGAATAATTAAAATTTATTATTTCATATTTTAGCTTATTAAGCATCCCTTGCACCCTTGTTCAAAGTTCATTCTTAGTCCTACTATTTAAAAATGCCTTATCCAGAAGGTAGAAAAGAAGTACTAATGCCACAATATCAGTCAACTCTGTAGATGAACGTGAACTTAAAGATTCCACAAACTTCAAAGTGTATATAGATTTAGAATATTTTGTCACCCTGTTTGTTTCCATGGCATCTATAATTATGTGATTGTGCTTGTTTTATAAGACTCAGCATCACTGTATCAATGTTAATAGGTAAAGGACTTCAGGAGACAGGGGACAAAGTTTTTTTGTTTAACGTAAGACCCTGAATACAAAGGTTTGTTTTCTTTTGTTTTGTATCTCTAGGTGGAGTACGTGTTTACAGATAAAACTGGTACATTGACAGAAAATGAGATGCAGTTTCGAGAATGTTCAATTAATGGTATAAAATACCAAGAAATCAATGGTAGACTTGTATCTGAAGGACCAACACCAGACTCTTCAGAAGGAAATTTACCTTATCTTAGTAGTTTTTCTCATCTTAACAACTTATCCCATCTTGCAACCAGCTCCTCTTTTAGAACCAGTCCTGAAAATGAAACTGAACTTGTAAGTAATTTTTAAATTAATAAATAGGAGTTTCCTTTAAAATAGTAACTCTTTGGTAGTTGGTGATTTGTAGAAGAAAATGTTTAAGTGTTAGTAGGCAAGGAATATACATTTGAAATATTTATCCTTTGATTCAGCACTGAGAATTTGTAGTTACCACTTCGTATGTATCTACTTTAGTTCTCAGGGTGTTTTCATGGGATTAAGGAAAGCCCTTTCTGCCTTAAAGTAAAGAAGATTTTACTAAGGAATAGAGCTTAAATTTATTTAATACCTTTTGAGATCTCAATTCTTCCATAAAAGAGTTTCCATCTTTACTGGCAATTTGGTTATGCCTCCTAAAAAAATACTCACTTTGAAGGGTCATAAGCAAATGTGACATTTTACCCTTTAAAAGTAATATGTCATCTTCTGAGGTGCAGCCAGCTATTATTTATGCAATTTAAAATTGTAGCAGTCTTATTCTACATCTTAGTTTACCAAATTATTAACTGTATTTATTGACTTTTTTAGAATTTTGTTTCCGGTTTCTTAAATGTTATTTGGTATTGGTATTTTTATTACGAGTATTAATTCTGTTTCTACAGATTAAAGAACATGACCTCTTCTTTAAAGCAGTCAGTCTCTGTCACACTGTGCAGATTAGCAATGTTCAGACTGATGGCATTGGCGATGGTCCCTGGCAATCCAACCTTGCACCTTCCCAGTTGGAATACTATGCATCTTCACCAGATGAAAAAGCTCTAGTGGAAGCTGCTGCAAGGTAGTTTGAGTCTAACTTTTAAATCTTCAGAAAAATACTTTTAAATAAAAAATGTGAAAATACTAGAAAATAATTTTAAATTATCAGACAAAATTCATAACACATTAAGGTATTTTATATGTGAATTTGAAATGTGTCATTAATTTTGTTGTTAAACTTGCATTAAGTCACATTTTGAAGCGATCTCTTTAAAAATCTGGTTAGTACAAAATAAGAATAATATAATTTGCGAGAAATACTTGTGTATGTATTGTTTTAGACCTACTCTGATCTTTTAAGTTCTCGCTCTCTTTTTTTTTTTTTGAGAATAGAAAAGTTTATGCTGCCATAGACAATAGGCGGGCCACACAGGCAAGAGGTGCCTGTGTGAGCCCTGAGGGTTGGTTGTTGGGGTCTTTTGTAAGGTAGGATCACAAGGTGCCTGATCTTGTACACAAATCTCTCATTGGCTGTTGGTGAGGTGAGGAGTTTAGAGTCCGTGAAGGGCAATGGGTGGGCTGAGACAAACCAGCCTGAGCTATTGTGAGATTAGGCATTACCTAGGGCTATTAGTTTGTTAGGGCGAACCCCAGTAATGGTTCTTAAAAATAATGCTATATTCAAAGGAAATACTTTAAAATACATCTTAAACTTATATTTTACATATTTTTGTTCAAGCTAAGTTATATTGTGAAACATCCTTTAAATCGTAATACTTCTTCTTTTTTTGATCCCTAGATTAGGCATTGTATTTATTGGCAGTTCTGAAGAAACTATGGAAGTTAAGACACTTGGAAAACTGGAACGGTAATTTTTTTCTTTATTGTAATTTTCTATATATTCATTATTTACTATAGATCAAGAATCAGTAAAGCATACCCACAAGCCAAATCTGGCTTACAGTCTGTTTTTGTAGAGCCTGCAAACTGCATTACATTTTTAAAGTGTTTTCCCCCACCAAATGCAACAGAGACCATATATGGCCTTCAAAGCTTAAAATAGTTACTGTCTAGCCCCTTTAAAAAAAGTTTACTGATCCTTGCTCTAGAATGATGTCAGTATAATATTGTATCTCATCAGAGTAATAACAATATTATGCTCTGAGTCTTTCATCTGCATTTTAGATGTTTCTTGAATTTATTGATGTGTTTATTTTTACCACTCTTGGAGTTATAAGTTTCATAAGTTTCTACTCACTAAAAAACTTCCTTGGGGGACGGTATAGCTCAAGTGCTAGAGCACACACTTAACGTGCATGAGGTCTTTCCTATAATTTTATCTTTTAGCCTTTAAAGAACTTCTCTCTTATTTCCAGTATTTCCACTGTGATAAACTAGTCCATTGTTATTATTCATACCTTTCATGGTTTTATCAATTCTGACCATATCTCAGCTACATCTGTGCTTTTCCAAACTATGCTTTTCCGAACTAATAGTGTCCAATCTTTGGCTTCTTTTATCTTGGAGCCTGCATAGCTCATTTTATCTACTTATAAGCCATCATTCTACTCAGTGTTTTTCTTTGAGATGTACAAAACATGCCTTATGTACATGGTTGTATAAATTCATCCAGAAGACATTTCAAGCCATACCTAACCCATCTACACAGTCTTTTACAGCCCTTTAGAGAGGCATTTGTTCCCCCTACGTGCCCAGTCCTAGGTTCAGAATCACTGCTATAATGAGCCTCTGTTACTAATTTGTTTGTATTTCTCAAGTATGTTTGGGCAAAAGAAGGGTTGAGAATCAGTCACCTTTTTTAGTGAGGGAAACATGGAGCTGGACTGATCTGGATTCCAATCCTTGTGCTGCCACTCACAAGCTTATTTGACTTTAGGCAAATTAGTATATCTTTCTGAGTTTAGCAGTCCTCATCTGTAAAATGGTAGAAGACCTACTGCGTTTGGTTTTCATGGATATTGATATAAGGTGTGTAAAGTACATAAGGTATTTGGTGAGAACTTAATAATAAATGTCAGTTCCTTCTTTTTCTATCTTGTATTGTTATTAAAGACTCATAATCCATCATCTTGAGAAACGTAGTTGAGATTAATTTCTTGTTCTGAATTAACCATTTTATCTATAGGGATTCTTTCCAAATACTCACTTATTCAAAAAGTAAAGATTTTGCCTTTCTTATTTTTTCTCCCTTAGGTACAAACTGCTTCATGTTCTGGAATTTGATTCAGATCGTAGAAGAATGAGTGTAATTGTTCAGGCACCTTCAGGTAACCAATCTAAACTTTTATGAATTTTTTTGTATCTAATTTTAAGAGCTTGATAACTCATTTTTCTTTTTAGGTGAGAAGCTTTTATTTGTTAAAGGAGCTGAATCATCGATTCTCCCTGAATGTGTAGGTGGAGAAATAGAAAAAACCAGAATTCATGTAGATGAATTTGCTTTGGTGAGTGCAAATTCTCTTACTTAAAAAACTCTCAGAAAGATTTGGGATTTCATTTTTTCATTAACGTTTTATCAAAAATTATAGAAATTCTACAGTTTTATTACATTATGTGTTGGCTCCTCATTGTTTGGTTAAAAATTGATTTTTAACCTGCTAAAATATGTCTTCTCTTTGAACCCATTACAGTCAGAGCCCTTATGACTGCAAGGACCACTCCCAATTGCTATATTAAAAAAGGAGATTTACAAAAATCCCACGGACGTAGAGAAACTAGAACACCCATTCATTGCTGGTGGGACTATAAATGCTACAGCCACTTTAGAAAATAGTTTGACAGTTTCTCATAGTACATAGAGTAATACAGAGTTACTATATGACCCAGTAGTTTCACTCCTAAGTATACACCTGAAAGTTGGAAACATATGTCCATACAAAAACTTGTGGCCAAATGTTCTTAGCAGCATTATTCCTAATAGCCAAAAAGTAGAAACACCCAAATGTTCATCAACTGATGAATGGATTGAACAGTCTTATAGCTATATAGTGGAATGTTATTTGGCCATTAAAAGAAATGAAGTATTGATATATGTTGCATCATAGGTGAACCTTGGAAAGATTGCTAAGCGAAAGAAGCTAGTCACAAAAGGCCATATTTCCATTTATATGAAATACCCAGAAGAAGCAAATTCATAGGGCCAGAAAGCAGATTAGTGGTTGCCAGGAGCTGGAGGAAGGGGTCAAAGGGAAGTGTATGCTAATAGATATGGGATTCCTTTAGCAAGTGATGAAAATGTCTGGAATTATATAGGAATAATGACTGCACAACTTTTGAGTACACTGAAAACCACTAAATACATACTCTTTAAAGGAGTGAATTTTATGATATATGAATTATGTCCTTTTTTTTTAAAGTAGAAATCCGATTTATTTATTTATCTATTTATTTTTAACTTTTTTTTTGATTTATGATCATTTTACAATGTTGTGTCAAATTCCAGTGTAGAGCACAATTTTTCAATTATACATGAACATATATATATTCATTGTCACATTCCTTTCTCTGTGAGCTACCAAAAGATCTTGTATATGTTTCCTTGTGCTATACAATATAATCTTGTTTATTCTACAATTTTGAAATTCCAGTCTATCTCTTCCCACCCCCGACCCTCTTGGCAACCACAAGTCTGTATTCTATGTCTATGAGTCTATTTCTTTTCTGTATTTATGCTTTGTTTGTTTTGTTTGTTTGTTTGTTTTTAGATTCTACATATGAGCGATTTCATATGGTATTTTTCTTTTTCTGGCTTACTTCACTTAGAATGACATTCTCCTGGAGCATCCATGTTGCTGCAAATGGTGTTATGTTGTCGGTTTTTATGGCTGAGTAGTATTCCATTGTATAAATATACCACACCTTCTTTATCCAGTCACCTGTTGATGGACATTTAGGCTGTTTCCATGTCTTGGCTATTATAAATAATGCTGCTATGAACATTGGGGTGCGGGTGTCATCCTGAAGTAGACTTACCATATGACCCAGGAATCCCACTCCTGGGCTTATATCCAGAATTATGTCCTTCTTAATGAAAGAATATAGAAGAATCTGGTAATCTCACAAAAACAAAATGCCACAATTTATGTGAAGAGGAAAATTATTAAGCAGTTCTCTCTCAGTCTTAGGGCTTCATAATCTCTCATTTCTGAATTTCTGAAATGTATGCTCCATACTTATCACTGCTCACCTGCCTCCTTTACTTATGGTTTCTTTTCTCCCATTACTTGTCTCTTAATTGTTTATGGTCTATATCATTTTAGTATCTGGAAGAAAGCTGACATGTAGTTGTCACTCAGTAATTGTTTGTTGTAGAATGAATTTATTAATTTCATACATTAATAACTCTCATGGTCCCTTAACTATTTATTTAAGAAAAATAGGTGTTCATAAGTTGGATCACTTGTAAATAAAGGAATGCCAGTATTTAGAAATCTTCTAAATAGTGTCATACAGTATTTTAAAACCTACCCTTTCCAAGTTCTGTTATTAGAACATTTATTTTAGGTTTTTCTGAGGAAAATGTGTTATAGGGAAAAAAACTTTCATAAGCTTTCAGATTTGGATGTCAACTTTCAGATATTCACACCATAAGGAAAATTTGCACCCAGTAGAATCAGATAATCAAATATGTATTCCTAAGTTTTGTGTAATTCCAGTTCACTAGTAAAGATGTTATAATTTAAAATCATTCATTCAGTGACTCTAGAAAGTATTGATGATAATGTCCACCTTACAGGCTTCTTTATTTAAATTGTGAATTTGTCGTACCATAAACCCTCAGGAAATTATAGTCCCCTTTGCTTAAAAAAATTCTTATAAAGTAGATAAAAATGAGCTTGCAGTGATTAAAACAGGAGAGTAGAACCTGGGGCTGCCTATCTCTTGGCAATCCTGAAGGTACCACTATGGAACTTTCTGGCTTTCCAGGTAGAACAGTTTTAAAATCACAGATAGATTGTCTTTATGATCCTGTCTAGGCACTAATACTCTACAATTCAGAAATCTTAATTATTTTGAGCAACTTTTTAAGAACTCATCAGAAATTGGAAGAGCTATGATATGTGTCCCATAACTTAGATGACTAGGGTTTTATGATGGTTTATGTTATTTCCTATCACTAGATAGTAGTACTTTTTTTCAATTGATTTTTGGTAATAGAGTCCTCAGTTTATTTCAGTGACTTCCTGGTTCCCCATTAGTTAGTTTTGTTCAATTTTTGTCTTTAATTTTTCTTTTCAGAAAGGGCTAAGAACTCTATGTATGGCCTATAGACAGTTTACATCTAAAGAGTATGAGGAGATAGATAGACGCCTGTTTGAAGCCAGGACTGCCTTGCAGCAGCGGGAAGAGAAATTGGCAGATGTCTTCCAGTTCATAGAGAAAGACCTGATATTACTGGGAGCTACTGCAGTAGAAGACAAGTAAGTACCAGATAAGCAGGCAATGTCATTTTTCTCTCATAAGAATTTTTCTAGCCAGGTGTTTTGAATTTGACAGATTCCATTTATTAACATTTTATAATGACAACATATTTAAAATAAAAATAGAGTTAAATCCTTAATTTTTCCCAGTCCATATATACAATTTTTATTCTAGCCAGATATCTGAAATTGTTGAAAGAATCCAGCTGTGTATAGTTGTGCTCCTCAGTGTGCTGTACAGAGACTTGAAACACCTGCCTAGTCCTCACTCACCCCCTACCACTGCCCACTTTCTCTTTACATTTTCAGCAGTGCCAAACTGTCTATAGTGCCCCTCTGAACAACAACTATAGTTAAAGCTATTGTATTTTATGCCTTTGTTCTCTGGCAAAGCTGTGCCTTCTGCATGGATCATTCCTCCCTTATCCATTTGTGAATACCTATTCATAAAATTTATTCCATATAGTACCCCTATTTCAGGAAGACCTTTCCTAGTCCATAATAGATTATAAATTCTCTTCATTGTTAAGTCTGTGTTGTAAGTAGTTCTGTTCTTGTCCTTTTAACAGTATAATTATTTATTTAAGGACTTTTTTCCTCTGTTAGCCTGTGAATTTCTTGAGGTCTGTTTATTCTTTGCCTTTGTTCCTCAGCATCACTCCCGATGTGTGTTTCATAGTTTCTTGAATTAAATTGAATTCTACAAAATAAGCCTATTGTTATATTTTTCTCTGTCCCCTGGATCTAAGGGTGCTTGCATTTTGCAAAATCTAGGACAACTTTTCCGTTGTCCTCATGAGGTTTCTGACTCACCTGAGGTTTTGTAGTTCTTTATTGTCCATGGTCTGATTTTTGAACTACTGAGATGAGAGATTTTCTTATCAGAAAAAAAAAAAAGAGAAATCTTCTAATTTGAAACTTAAGACTTTCTACTAAATAAGAGTTTGTAAAGACTGTATAGTTAGTTGGTTCTATAAAAATCAACTTTGAAGATACACTCTTAAAATCTGAAGTTGTACATTTTATGTTAGTCAATCACCAATCTGATTATTCCTATTTCTTCCCTAATGGGGAAAAAAATTTTCAGTTATTTTATTGTACTATAATATTCCCAAGTTAAGGAGTCCAGAACTCCTTACTTACTTGTACTATGTGTTTTATACTTAAAATGCAGTCAAAAAAGTATTCTCTACTACTAATTTTGTTTATTTTCAGACTACAAGATAAAGTTCGAGAAACGATTGAAGCATTGAGAATGGCTGGTATCAAAGTATGGGTACTTACTGGAGATAAACATGAGACAGCTGTTAGTGTGAGTTTATCATGTGGACATTTTCACAGAACCATGAACATCCTTGAACTTATAAACCAGAAATCAGACAGTGAATGTGCTGAACAATTGAGACAGCTTGCCAGAAGGTAAGAATAATTATCCAGATCATGGAGTTCAGGGGTCAGCAAGCTATGGCCCATGGTCCCAAATATGGCCCACTGCCCTTTGTTTGCAGCCTATGAGCTTAAAATAATTTTTACACTTTTTGATGAATGAAAAAGAATTCAAAGAAGAGTAATATTTTGTGATGTGAAATTTATATGAAATTCAAAGTTCAATGCCTGTAAACAAAGTTTTATTGGAACAAAGCCAAATTTGTTTATATATCATCAGGGAAGGCTTTTGCACTATAACAGCACAGTTGAGTAATTGCAACAGAGACCTTATGAACACTTTTATTATTTCTCACTACTGCTTGATACATTACAAATTACAGCAACACAGTTATAACTTGTTTTGAGTGCCACACATATTGCCATATGACTGACATTTTAGGATATTTTTATTACCAGTATTTACTTATCATGTGCAAGCATGAAAAGAAAAATGGACTTTTAATGTCATGTTCTTAAGGCACAGTGGAGTGTTGATTATTTTATTATCGAATTAGATGGCAAAGCATTTTGTTTATTATTCAGTGATAATATGCTTTAATATGCTACCTCTTTGAAAGACAATCAAAAATGAAATATAAAGTCTCATTACAGATCAGCATTAACAGATGGGCATTTGCAATTGATTTTGATGATAAGGAAGAGAAATTAACTTTAAACCCCAGTTAATCAAAATGTTCTTCCCTCTACATAAAAAAGTTTTCTGTTTTCATTAGTAGATTTCTATTATTTTAAAAAATTATACTTATTCTTACTATATTTTTTACTTGAAAAAGTTTGTTTCCTCTTTTGTAGTGTAAGTGCCTACCTAATACCTTCAATTTTAGCTTCTTAGCTCTCAAAACTTGAAATATTTACTTTTGACACTTTACTGAAAACATGTGCCAACCCCTGATACAGTTCACATGGCCGAACTGGGAAATTAATCAGCACTTTACTGTTCAAAGAAAATTTCATAAGCATTTATTATCTAAATTCTCTTTTTCTCTGAATCTTCTTTTTATAGGGAGAGCAGTCTTATCTAGGAGCCCCCCCCACTTAACAGAGTCTAATTTTTCACAGTGAATTAGGAGTACTTCAGTGGAAGCATCAGGGTTGCTTGTATGTAGACACCTTAGATGTTCTGTAGGTACCTGTCTTTGCAGTCTTATGACATTAACGCAGAAAAAAATCCAAAAAGACATTACCAGAGTTCTCAATGTACATTCAGAGCTTTATTTACATTTATTATGCAGGCATTGATGTGGTGTTAAACTGGATTTCATCAAAGAAAAACTTATTTAAAGAATGTCTTAAAGAGACATTACAACGCTCAGAGGAGTATTTGCTTGAGTTCATAAAGGTGATTTATCTAGATTATTATACTACAATTTTGGAGCAGTGTCATCACTGTTGTGGCTATTTAAAATTTTAAGTATGATAATGTCAGGAACTCCCTAAAACATAGGCATTAGTTGCTGAGAATTATTTACTTTATATATGCCTTTTAAAATATTATTCCTGATTATAAAAATAATGTTCATTTAAAAATACAGTTACAAAGAAGATATGATGCTTAATGATATAATACAGCCATCTAAAGATAATTATTATTTATGTATATTTTTTAATTGAAGTGTAGTCAGTTTACAATGTGTCCATTTCTGGTGTACAGCACAGTACTTCGGTCATATAGAAACATACATATAAAAAAAAGAAA